TTGCGCGACGGCAGTTTAACTTTAATACGTAAATTATTTATTTATTTAGTTTTGCATGATGAAGTTTCGTGAGGTTTATTATTCGTTCGTGACGTTCTTGTTTACTTTTTATGGTTTGATGTGTTTCGCGTTATTTGACTTACATTTTTCATGGTAGGTCTGAGCTAATTTTGTTTTACTTCAATGGCATATATGCGTACCACGCCATTTTGCTAACTACTTCAATGTCCCGATTAGTTGATTCGGAAAGCCAAAACGATTGATTTGGCTCCGGTTATTGATTATCTAGTAGGATTCGAATCCTTGGCGTTTGTATTAGGCGGTTTTCCATTTTCGTGTTTGCTACGCCGTAATATGCGACCACTTCCGCGTTTTATTGTGATTTTGTGAGTGTTGATAATGATGTCTTCCTCGCACGTCACGCCATGACCCAGTTTAAACCACACGGCCATTTTGCAACGAAGAGCTTGACCCTTAGCGTGACCCTACTGATTATATGATTGTTCTGTTCAACTGTTTAGCTAGATTTTATTACCGTTCCACCTTATGTGCAACGTCTTGACTATCTTTAAACTAACTGGTCATGTGATCTCATTAATTATGTGCATATCAAATTCCTGTAGATTATTACAGATGCAAATTTACTACTAACTGGTTATTGACAACATTGATCAAAAGATTAGGATAAACTATTAACTGGTCTTGTGATCTCATTAATTATGTACATATCAAATTCCTGTAGATTATTACAGATACACATTTATTACTGACTGGTAATTTTCGAACATAGATAAAGAAACTTGGATAAACTATTAACTGGTCATGTGATCTCATTAATTATGTACATATCAAATTCATGTGGATTATTACAGATGCAAATTTACTACTAACTGGTTATTGACAACATGGATCAAAAGATTAGGATAAACTATTAACTGGCCATGTGATCTCATTAATTATGTACATATCAAATTCCTGTAGATTATTACAGATGCAAATTTACTACTAACTGGTTATTGACAACATGGATCAAAAAATTAGGATAAACTATTAACTGGTCTTGTGATCTCATTAATTATGTACATATCAAATTCATGTGGATTATTACAGATGCACATTTATTACTGACTGGTAATTTTCGAACATAGATAAAGAAACTTGGATAAACTATTAACTGGTCATGTGATCTCATTAATTATGTACATATCAAATTCATGTGGATTATTACAGATGCACATTTATTACTGACTGGTAATTTTCGAACATAGATAAAGAAACTTGGATAAACTATTAACTGGTCATGTGATCTCATTAATTATGTGCATATCAAATTCATGTCGATTATTACAGATGCACATTTACTACCAACTTGTTATTGACAACATGGATCAAAAGATTAGGATAAACTATTAACTGGCCATGTGATCTCATTAATTATGTACATATCAAATTCCTGTAGATTATTACAGATGTACATTTATTACTAACTTGTTATTGGAAAAATGGATCAAAAGATTGGGATAAAATATTAACTGGTCTTGTGACCTCATTAATTATGTGCATATCAAATTCATGTCGATTATTACAGATACACATTTACTACCAACTTGTTATTGACAACATGGATCAAAAGATTAGGATAAACTATTAACTGGTCATGTGATCTCATTAACTATGTGCATATCCAATTCATGTGGATTATTACAGATGCAAATTTACTACTAACTGGTTATTGACAACATGGATCAAAAGATTAGGATAAACTATTAACTGGTCTTGTGATCTCATTAATTATGTACATATCAAATTCATGTGGATTATTACAGATGCACATTTATTACTAACTTGTTATTGGAAAAATGGATCAAAAGATTGGGATAAACTATTAACTGGTCTTGTGACCTCATTAATTATGTGCATATCAAATTCACGTCGATTATTACAGATACACATTTACTACCAACTTGTTATTGACAGCATGAATTAATATATTAGCAGGTCTTGTGACTTCATTAATTATGCACAAGTATTACAGATACACATTTTTCTATTGGTTATTTTCGATATGAATAAAAAGATGTTTTCTCCGATTTTTATTTATAATAAAACATTTCCAATTCATCGGTATCAATATGCAACAGCCATTGCCGACACAGAACATAGCATGTACACACTATACAGACACGTCACGTCTCCAGAGGGCGCCATCTATTGAAATATAGTTTTGTCAAGCCAACCTCAGGATTAGAATACAAGATGACACAGACAAAATGTTAAATACATTGCTATTTTGGGAGGCCAATCTTTTTTCTGACCATCTCTCACTGATGATTTTATGTGTCATTTCAACATTATGGTGTGCACCACGAGTCGTAATTTTCTATGGTCCATATCACGCGTCCAATTTGAGCGAAATGGCAACTACTCAATCCCTAGTTATTATATAGCAATTTAAGTGATAAGAGGGTTTTGTGTCTGAAAGATTTCTATAAGATTTGGTCATCATTATGTGGTTGTACTTAAACAAAAAATGTGAAATCCCAGCTACTGTCACTTTAAATCAGTAATAAAACTCATTTGTAAATGATAAACAC